AGGTCACGAGCAGTTGTCTAAGCATTTCACTGCATATCGTACTGTGTATGTGACAAATAAAATTTGAATTTGAATTTGAATACCTTGTTGCAGAACGAATAATGAATGAACAACATGAATTATGTTTTGTGTTGTAAAAGCAAGAAATGCACAGGTGTTGTTAATGTTAGCTTATTTCCATTAAGTCACACTTAGCCAGCGGGCTACTATAATATATAGTTTAAAACAAATCACAGTTTGTCTGGAGACATGTTTCCATATTTAGTTTCTCAGTTTTAGCACCGTTACCTTGAAATGATTTCATTTGATAGTCTGGCGTCTGCTGGCCTCTGCTGGCCTCTCCCAGCACTCCTCCTCACAGCCAGCCTGCACTGATTTCAGTTCACGAATTAACTGCATGTGGAAAAATTGTCATTTGATAATTGCCAATGTTTATAATGAACTCAACAATGGTGCCATTCAAAGCAACCTAACTGCCAGTTTTAGCCATGAATGGGTATTTTGTTTACTCTTCGTGCTTGCTGCCGATAAAGTTTTAGAGAATAGGAACCAAACACGGATAAATGAAAGCCAAGGACGTAGTTCTGTGCAGCAAACATATCTAACAGCGCAAAGACAGGAAGCAAGACAGATACTGGCAGCACGTCAGTAAGCAAGGGAGGCGGGTTTGTTCTTTTAGTCATAATTACTGTTTTATTCTACTTTCAAATTCAATTTTAATTCTCTAGTATCGTGTCGCAGCAACAGTAATCTGCAGAAAGGACCTACAGTATCAGAGAGAAAGCTCCAACAATCAGATGATCCCATAAGATCAAGCATTTAGCAGCGGTGGGGAGGAAGAACTCGTTTTTAACAGGAAGAGGCCAACAGCAGAACGAGGACAGTCGTCTGCTGTTTCTGGTTGGGAGTTGAGAGGAAAGAGATGACTACAAGAAGATCATAAAAATAAAAATTTTATGACATGCATTGTTTGCGATTGTGGCGAGTCCAAAGCCACGCAGCGTAGAAATTTCACGAAAACCTTTTGCAGTAGTCCAAGCACTGAGTCTGAGGGGTCAGACTGTGTTTAGTGTGGTGTCACGTGGATATTTAGTACAACCTGTAAGGGCCCCTTCACATTGCATATTTGCTTCTGTTCTTTTCTTGATGCAGATTTGTGGCGACAAATGTGATGCGCCTGAAGCGCCTGGGCATCACCCACATCCTGAACGCTGCAGAGGGGAACTCCTTCATGCACGTCAACACCAGTGCTGAGTTTTATGCTGGCACAGGCATCATCTACCACGGCATACCGGCCAGCGACACAGACCACTTTGATATCAGCGTTTACTTTGAAGAGGCGGCCGATTTTATCGAGAAGGCTCTGGCATACAAAAACAAAAAAGGTCAGAATAGAGGAGCACACAGATGTATGTGAAGTATTTGAAAAAATACAGTCATATCACGCTAACTGCAAGGAGTTCTCACCAGTCAAGACTCTGGCTAGAACTAAAAAGAAAGACAATGTTTGCCATTAGGTTGTAAAAGGAGTGGCAAGTTTCATAAGTTTCATACTTTGAGTCCAACACGTATTTGATTAGAATTAGATTTGTCAGGTGATAACTTTGCACAGGTTTGAGGGCTTTTGATCAAACTGTAACACCTGCATCTCTTTTCCTCTCTAGGTAAAGTGTACGTCCATTGCAGGGAGGGCTACAGCCGCTCGCCTACCTTAGTTATCGCCTACCTGATGCTGCAACAGAACATGGACGTCCACACTGCTCTGGCCATGATCCGACAGAAAAGAGAGATCGGACCCAACGACGGCTTCCTTCGGCAGCTCTGTCGGCTAAACCAGAGGCTGTCCGCTGAGGGGAAGCTCTGGAACAAATGAGGCAGGCAGGAAAGCATGCTTATGCTTAATCGCACACCCGTCCTTTTACTTGTTCTACAGCCTGAACGAGCCACAAATATGTGAGGGAGTGCCTGCTAAACATGGAATTTAATGTGTA